TATACAACTATAACATAACATTTCTATCATTCTTTACCATACTACTTCACAACATAGTCTCATTTTATCATTTCATTCAACACATCAATCACTATCCCTAGACCAAATATACATGCTCACCAAACCATACTATTGCATAACATGAATCCACAAATCTCAACCCTCACCTTAGCCACAAAGCATCTGAATTAACTGGAACTGCATTCAGGAAATATCGGTTGAAAATAGCATCTCAAATTGAATTTATATCGGACTGGGAATCTAAAACTTGATGTGGATTCCTTGCAACGGCCTCTTTCCAGAGAGGCCAAGATCGTAATCTGAAACCTTCTAGATCAACGGAAAATCACATCCAAACTTAGCTCTGCAAAACTGGGAAAACATGCAGTTTTAAGACAGAAAGTTTTTGCCAACTTTAAACTTGATTTCCGGATTGTCCTTACCTTGGATTTCAATTATAAACACAGTTCCGGAAACTAGACAAAACAAGCTTTGCATGGATATAAGGATCATCATCCAACTTCATCATAACTGGCCGGAAAATGCTTGCGAAGATGACTGTCCGAAGCTCCACTGTGCACATAACAGTCCCAGAGAAATGCGAGTAACTCTTAAACCATATTTACGATTGACAAACGGTTTTCACATATAGCTAGATATACGAGTTACAAATATCCTTACCAAAACTCAACTTCATATGATCTGTGAATAATCCGCAGAACAAATTCTTCTATGACTGGTCAGAAATCCTCACAGCAGATAACAATTACGAGAAACAACCATAACTTTTATGTCACAACTTAAAATGACAATCCACTTTCTTACTTGGGTAAATAAGAGAGTTAAGATGGTTCTTACCAAGTTTCAGATCAATCATAGAAGCTTACGTCTTCCGTTTCTATTCTCTACCGATACTTGTCAGATTTGCTATTGTTTGTGAACAGCTGTGACGAAAACAATATAACTTTCAGCACAGACCTCCGATCTGGATGATCTAAGACTTTCTGGAAAGCTGAGACTCGGAGCTTTCCAAAGGTATGTAGATCATCACACAGTTCCATACTGTTCGCCAAAAAGTCGTCTATCAAAGCTGCAGCGGCGGCTAGGGTTCACAAGATGAAAAGCAAAACGGCCATGGCTTCGCAGCAGCAACACTCTTACCCTCTAAGTCACACTTACTCCCTTTTATATTAGAGGATGATTAGGGTTTCTGATAAGTTAATGGGCTTGATGGGTTTTAGGAGATACAACATTGTTTTAGTCCAATCATTTAAGCCTTTTAAACAACCTTTTCTTATGGCCTATTTCCCATTTTCGATCCGAAAACATTTCCGCATAAAAATTTTAAAATCTTCGGAACACGGCTGTGACACCTTTGATGAATGAAAACTTTATATACACAACAAAGCAGATAAACATTATCAAATGAAAACTTATTTATGTGGGATCAAGCATTATTTTGCTTCAAAGATAATGCAAATACAATCAGAGCGGGGAGATGAAAACCTGAAAGAAAGTATGAGAAACAAACAAAATGATAGAGCTTACAATGAAACCTTTGTAGATGAAAAAGTCACATCACAGCCAAGATAGCTATGAAGTTGAGATATATGTTATGAAGTTGAGATCCTTTACATGGTCTACAGACACTCTAAAGCTACTAAATTTATCAAAGCGTTCTCCAAAACCTTGTATTTCAACAGTTTGGAGAGTGTTCTTTACGGGATTGATAAGCCATGGACAATACCTTGAATTGCTTGTTAATAGGATCAAACCCTAAAAAAGTATATAGATCAAACCTGAGGCATATCTGAAAGAACCCTAAAAGCTTAGAAAGATAGCTTAAAAGCAGAGGAAGAAGGTTAAATTTATTAACTTTTTTCAGTCCATTTTTCTTATCCTTTTACAAGCTGTCGAGCCTTACAATATAGAGAAGGACGTATCCTTTTAGATCTTGATACTTGTCTTTTATCAATACGCTAAGGAATCCAATCGGGATTCAATTTCCATGGCTTTTTAATATTTCCCTCAACATTCTAATTATTCAAAAAAAAGTTAACCAAGAGCC